TCCGAACCCTCGGGCGGGAGCGCCGCCGCGCTTCCCAAGCGGCACACTTATCCAGTGCGCCACCGGGCCGGCCCTTGATAACATTTTTTAACAGTTATGGGATCATGTTTATTTAATGCTTTTTAAAAAAATATTGTGGACATTGTACTAAAGAATGAGATCTTTCTCATTCTTTTCTAACTACTGTAAAGTAGTCTACTGTGATACTGTGTCATAATTTAATTATTCACCTATTGATGGATATTTATGTTTCTGTTTTTCCATATTTTCAAGCATTGCTGCTATGGACATTCTCATACTGTATAAGTATTTTTGTGAATTCGTTTGAGCATTTCCACAGGGTGGATGGCTTGAATTAGAATCATGGGATCAAAGAGAAGGCTACACATCCAAATTTTTTGTAAATGTTGCCAGGTTATCCTCAAAGAGTGTGTTAGCTACACTTCCAGCACTATGCGAGCTAGCCTATTTCTCCACATTCTTCCCAACTCTACATGTATCACTTTTTCTAATCTTTACTAGTCTAATTGGTGAAATATGCTATCTTGTTTTAATATGTATTTGCATTAGTAGTAAAGCATTTATATATTTAAAACCTATTTTTATTTCTTCTGTGAATTCTCTTTTTAATATCCTTTACCCTCTTTTCTATTGTTGTAAACCCCTTTAAGGGTATCAATCCTTTGTCAGTCGTAGATGTTGCAAATATTTTTCCAGTTTGCTATCTTTTAACTTTATTTATAGTATCTTTGGTTGGGTAAATTATCATATCAGGGTAATACTAGTCCCATTGAACAAAGTGGGAACATTTCTATCTTCTACGTTCTAGAACAGCTTAAATATGAAAATAACAAACTTCCTGAGGTTTCAGTAAAACTCACTAGTAAAGCTGTTTTGGCCCATTACCTTTTTAGGGGATAAATCTTGGTCTATTTTTACAGTTTCTTCTATGGTTTTATCAGTTTTGTTTTGTTTTTAACAAATTCCTTCTGATCTTTCAGCTGTTTTCAGTTTTTCCTTGTTATACACACTACTACAGTAATCATCCTTGTAACACAATCTTTATGAACATGATTTATTGCTTCCTTAAGATATATTACAATTTATAGAATTTCCAGATGTGCATATTTTTAAATACTTTTCACAGGATTTCCATCCAAAGATAGTATAACTATTTATTTTCCTACCATCAGGGTGTGAGAGTTTCTGCTTTCCTATACCCTCACCAAAGACAGGATGTTTGTCAGCTCTTTTTTTGTTTTTGTTTTTGTTTTTTTGGCAGCCAGCCGGTGCTGGGATCTGAATTCTTGACCTTGATATTATAACACTGCAGTCTAATCAGCTGAGCTAACTGGCCAGCCATTTTTTGTGTTTTTTTGGTTTTTTGGTTTTTTTTGGTGACTGGCTGGTATAGGGATCCGAACCCTTGACCTTGGTGTCCCCAGTTCTTAGAGTGGTAGATAAGCTCTTGTTTTTTTTCCACCTTGTCACAGTTTTTATCACCCAGTAGCCAAGAATGTTAAATAAATAAGAAAAAATTAANCTACTACAGTAATCATCCTTGTAACACAATCTTTATGAACATGATTTATTGCTTCCTTAAGGTATATTACAATTTATAGAATTTCCAGATGTGCATATTTTTAAAGACTTTTCACAGGATTTCCATCCAAAGATAGTATAACTATTTATTTTCCTACCAGCAGGGTGTGAGAGTTTCTGCTTTCCTATACCCTCACCAAAGACAGGATGTTTGTCAGCTCTTTTTTTGTTTTTGTTTTTGTTTTTTTGGCAGCCAGCCGGTGCTGGGATCTGAATTCTTGACCTTGATATTATAACACTGCAGTCTAATCAGCTGAGCTAACTGGCCAGCCATTTTTTGTGTTTTTTTGGTTTTTTGGTTTTTTTTGGTGACTGCCTGGTATAGGGATCCGAACCCTTGACCTTGGTGTCCCCAGTTCTTAGAGTGGTAGATAAGCTCTTGTTTTTTTTCTACCTTGTCACAGTTTTTATCACCCAGTAGCCAAGAATGTTAAATAAATAAGAAAAAATTAAAACTAAAAAGTGAACCAATTCCAGAAATGGAATAAGGACCCAGCAAGGTCAATAACCACAAGCACCACCACCATCCCCACGTATCCTCTGTTAATCAGCTAGAGCTGATGGTGGTTCTTTTGTTTCTAAGAACCTCTCAGAAAGGAAAAAGAAATCAGCTCAAGAGCGTTGCCAGGCAGAGGAGGAGATAGATGAAATTCGCAAGTCACACCAGGAGGAATTAGACAAACTTCGACAGCTCTTGAAAAAGGCTCGGGTGTCCACAGACCAAGCAGCTGCAGAGCAGGTAATGGGAATATGAAGCACTTTGGAAATAAAAGGAAGGTGTGAAGGACTCAGAGAGAAAAGATTCTAGTATCTTCCTCATCCTTTCAGATGACATTTCTCATAGTTGGTACTCTTACCTTGGAGAAAGATGGAGAAAGGTAATCCACATATGCAGGAGAGCCAGGAATCAACTGGAGAATCTTCTTTCCTTTTCTAAAGTTTAGTTAATATTTAATTACATAATTAAAATATGAAAAAAAAGTCTCTTTACAAAAAATTCCGAACATGATAAGGCCAAAGTCCTCAACCCCAGATACCATTCTTCTGGCACATTATCCTTGAAAAGTAGGGATTTATTTAGGTAATTGGGAAGAGAAACCAGGGATAGTGGCAGGTCACAGCTGGATCTCTAGTCCATTTGACAGCAGTCTATCTCATCGTAAGTTTAAATTCAT